ACACGCTTCCGAAATGTTGAAGAAGTGCGAGAATGGGTGGACGAATGGATTGCTTCGAAACAAACATCGTTTTATCGAGATGGTATCGCCCAGTTGCCAGAAAGATGGCAAAAAGTTGTAGAAAGTGATGGAAAATACTTTCATTGAAATAATTTAAATAAATTTCTTACAATAAATGCTTTTTCTCAGTATTTTTTGGGCGGAAACTAAGTTAAGGTCCTAATATTTACTTAGCGTATAAAATGAGACGATTTTACAGGTACGGTGGTCTGCCGTGTATTGGCGGTCGACAAGGTATGGACGCGATGCTGGACACTGAGCCAGGTGGCCAACCCAGACCATTGGGAATTGCGTCCGTGGCCGGGGTGTTCTGCTTGCTTTTAATGGGCTTAGTGCTCGGTATCATCATACTCGTGGGCGAGCACTTGTTCTACAAGTATACGCTCCCACGATTGCGACATAGGCCGGAAGACTCTATTTGGCGCAGTCGCAACGTCATGTTCTTCTCGCAGAAGTTGTACAGATTCATCAATTGTGTGGAGCTTGTCTCGCCACATCACGCAGCCCGTGAATTGGTGCACACAGTGCGGCAAGGTCAGATCGCGTCGCTTTTCCAGAAGAGTGTCAAACGAGTACGTGACTTCGATTCCCTGAGTATATAGATAGTCCGCGAGTTCGTGAACACGAATCTTGGTAATAAAAAAGTTTACTGTTCTATTTTGTTTGTCTTAGAATAAGTAAGTAATAAAGTGAAGAAATCTAAGATTGTCGAAAGATATTTGACTATCGAGAGACTTATGTTCACGAACTTGGACGATATATCCGTTTAATTTCTAAATATCTACTACGTTTCCATGTTCCAGAAGGAACATGAACAACGTCGCAGACGTAAGAGTAAAGCACAATTCTTCGAGATGATTCAAGAGATCCGGAGGTAAGTAAAGATTAATTAATTCTTCAAATTTAAGATTTTACGACAGATCATTAATTATTATTTTATTAATTAAATAATTTTCACTTTGGATTTCTGTTATGTAGAATTATTGATGTACATATAGTATTATAAAAAAATTAATCATCCTCTAATTATCTCAATAAGTAAAAAAAGAAAAAAATTGCCAATAATCTGTGCATCAGATATATTGTAACCGTCTGTATTTTTCAGAGTTCAACAAGAAGAAAAGATCGAGGCTGCACCGGAAGAGCCTGATGCTACAAAAACGCTGAAGAAGGACGAGAAACTAGGGAAAGGCAGAGAGAGGAGTCGTAGCAAGAGCCCATTGATGCCGCGAAGTCCCAAGCGCTCAGAGAAAAGTAGAAGTTCCACCAACCTATCAGCGTCGCGTCTCGGACTATCACCGGTGAGTCTGGACGCGCCGATGAAGCCGCGCGAGTTTACACTCAGCAGTACGAATCTGCGTGCGAGAAGTCCGCTAGAGACGGTTGGTCGTAGACTGAGTCACGGGGATGGCGGCTCACCGCCGCCGCGTCTCGGTTCCCACTTTGGTGGCAGTGCCACGCTGCGTCCGTTGGCGCCAGCTAGGAGTGATTCGACTGGTGGTACACCCGTCATCGTCAAAGCTGATTCCTCTGTGAGCGGAGGTGGTGGCGCGCCGACACCGAGATACTCCCGCAGTCCGGCTAAGCGAGGTCAATCTTTCCCGGTGTTCGCTACCTTGAGGCCGCCGCACTCAGCTGGCTATCAGGCGTCGAGGAGCCCTCTATTATCGCCGAACAGCGAACTCACCTCCGCAATAGGCAGGAAGCTGTCGCGCGAATGGGGTTCTGGCACTATAGATCTCACCAGGTCGTCGGAGGCTATCAGTAGCGGCGGCGGTGGCGGTGGCGGTGGTGGTGGCGGTGGCGCTGGTGGTTCGACGTATACGTTGAATCAAGAGGTAACCCTCTCCCTGGGCCGTTCCGAGCAAGACAGCGCTCAGCAGGAGATAACGTTGCCGATTAAGAAACCCATACGACGCGCCAGAAGCCACGAGAATCGCGACAGCGGCAAGCTGATGGCGGATCTGCCGTCGCCAAGATTGACTCAGCCGGTAGTGGGTGGTCGTTCGGTGAGCGAGCGCACCAAGAAGCAACTGGAGTCCGAGCTGAAGGCGATTTTAAGTGCCAGGGCCCATCATCGCGACCTGCATCCTCCTTGATAGGAAGAGCTCTCCTCGCGCTAAGTTCTTGAAAGCGATGGCTTGAGGGAGGATCGCTCTAAGCCTCTGAGGGGCTTTAATTGATTTAAGCAATATCAGATTTATAGGTCAATTTGTAGAAGAATCCGACAGTTTATCAAGAGAAATTATGAACTAGTCGAGAAATCACGAAAAAAGAGACACACACACACGATCATTTCGAACACAAGAAGAATTTTATGTATGAAGAGGGGGTCGAAAAAACAGAGGCTGGGACTGGGAAAAATCTCTTTGATTGTTCATAAGTTGTTACGTACATTAATAATATAGGATACGTTGATAAACAAAAGTGCGCTATAAACTTTAGTAGAGATGTCTTAAATAGGTAGCGAGGTACACGAATACTAAGATATTTTCTTGTTGGCATTTTAACTCTACATTAACCGGCAGCCCGGGTGAGTCTCTCGATTGCTATGGTATATCAGACATTGTAATGCTGCAGCGTTTCTCAACTATGAACTTTTCGACGGAAATACAGATCGCTCCGTTGTTTCTATCATGTTAGAACGTAACGACACATAAGATTTCTGATCAATTTTTGAACTCATTAAACGCGGCACGTACAGTATCTATTAGATATTGTCCCTCTGGGAGTGTAAATATCCAGAACAGATCATATATATACACATATACATATATACATACATTATATATGTATGTATATATATGTATATAGTTTTCTCATTTCATCTAACGCACATTGTAAATATAATAGAATGTTTCTCGAACAAGACGATATATGACAAACTAAAACTGTCGGCTGTCGGTTATTACCTATTACGAGACTACTATGTGAAAGTTGAGAAACGCTGGTTTACCGAACTTCGTTGAATTGCATACTGCCACTTTAATAATTCCTGTGACTGCGGAAAGAGAGAGACTCGCTCGATGGACTCTCGGCGTAGAATGACCACTCAACTGCGAGACGCATAATCTTACAATTATCGCGCGCCTATCGAAATGAGAGAGGAGGGAACTAGGAGCGGATGAAATTTTAATCGAGTCTAAAACATATATTCGTAAAAAGAAAAAAGAAGATAAACGGGTTATACTCGAGACACCGGAAGTCAGGTCCGACAATTGCGTGAGAGAGAGAAAGAAATTTCGCAGCCGTATCGCGTACCTTCCGCGATTCACAATTATTTCCTAACGAAGCAGTGCCAAAAGATCGGTATCACGCGACAACCTAGTCGATCGATGATAATTTGCTTTACGTTTACGTGACATGTAATGTAATGTAACATACGTACTCTTAGCGCGGTAAGAACCACAGAGATTATCGTTGTTTAACGCGATAATTCAATCGTTCGTTCGCTGCGACTTCGCGAGGCACGACTTCCGACGGTTTTACTAGACTGATAGGTGAAATTTCATTCAGGAATTGTAAATGAAACATTATCGGAATTGAATAATTGTTATTTACTGATCGCGATGTGCATGTCCCGTCTTCGTCTACGAACTCTTTCGATTCACTTCGATGAGAGAGGGCGAGAGAACTCGTCTAGTCTCGTTAATTATTACTTAACTTAGATGGTAGCGTGGATGTGTGGGACTAAATTGACTAATTACTTTAAAAGGGATAAAATAAAAAAAAAGAGAAAGAAGCAGAACAGAAAAGTGAGGGATATACATGAGCGAGGCCTTAGGAGTAGTCGTATCCGCCCAAAATACTTTACTCGACTATAGTACTACTGTACTCGAATATTTCACTACATTATATTACATTAGAGAATAGACATTTAGTTTTCGTAGTTCTCTCGGTAGAAAGAAAAAAAAACGCTACTGTATTCGGAAACTTAACGACTAAGTCCCTCGTCGAGTCCTTATTAGCGGTTAGTGATCTCCGTGTGAGTGTACGCGCGACTATCACCGAATGCAGCGAGTATGACAATGCTACTAACTGCAGGCGAGCAGCAGTGTAGGGTCGTAGATTGTACTTCTACATTTGATAGTTAGAGAATGTCATTGTCTTTGTTAGTAGTCGTGGTCGATAGTCTTGTGAGAGAGAGAGAGAGAGAGAAAGAGAGAAAAAAAGAGATTTCGGTTGCATGGTCGCGTGCAACGTCAATGTGGCGTGAACGCGCCAACGAACCGCTGTTGATGAAAGTGTCCTGAATGATTGCGCTAAAAAAGAAAAGATCATTTCGCGTTTAGCAAAAATCGCCGCCGTTTTGTTACTTCCTTTCGTTCTTTCTTGCGCGCTAAATCTCCGGTCGGTCACAACTTTGTACTCGTCTTCTCGCTCCTATTCTATTCTAGAATTCATATTCTGTGACTTTCTTAAACACGTCGAAGCTTCCTCTTCGTGCTTGTCCTCTCTCCTTTCTCTTAATCCTTTTCTCGCGAATCACTTTCTTTCCCTTCGATCGCGCTCGTTAGTCCAATCGTTAGATTACGTCGCGTCAAGTTTCAAGAACAGGCCGGATATTTTCAAGTTTCTTGCTGCTGAAAATTGCGCGCACGTTTCAGCGGACTGTAGCGTGTTCTGTGTCGCCGCGATTAATTCAGGAAGTGATCAAAATATACAAAACATAGGGGGCCAGTCTAGAGTCACCCGCGCCTAAAGAGAAATCAAAGATAGACTTATTAAATTAATTTTAGCTGTAATTCTCTTTGTAACGTGTGGGTTCTGCCGGTAATTTGGTTCAGTAGGGCTCTGCTCTCCATTTCCGTTGCGCGTTCTGTTCTCGTAAAGCGTCTCGGGGGAAGGTCCTGACGTCCCTTGTGGATCATCTCTTGTACATACGTGTCTTCTACTAGATACCTGAAAGGAACACTATTGCACTGAATTAAAGGTCGAGCCCCCTACTTCTTTGTGCGCCAACAAGAGCCTGTTAGACGTCACGCACGGAAAGATAAGAGCAAAATGCACTTATCGCTATTTGTCGCCGTTTCTGAGAAAGACCTCACTTTAACGTGCGAATTCTCCGGAGCGATCGCAAACAAACGTTTCCAGACGGTCTCAACTACGATAGATGAATAAATCTACAATTCTAAGTACATTGCAACGCGATAATGATGAGTGAGTGCAAGTGAGGGCGAGTTTTAATCTTGCAAGCAATCTTGAGAGTGTAACCGCGACGTGTTTTCAAGATTACTCCGAAAAAATATTGCATACATTTGATGTTGGGATAAGACATATGCGTATACATATATCAGTATTTCACTCTTCCTTTTGATAATCTGTATCGAATATTCTCTGGACGTATATTTCAAGATGCTTATCATTATCTCATTGCAAAGTGCACAGTGTTAATATTGTATCAAATATCTGGAGTTACCGGCCTATACACGATACACGAACGAGATTTCATTCGTTCTATGCGTCTCTCAGTTCACTCGAGAGATTCGAGTTTCTAATGCGCAATGTTCCTGGTCGCGTAGCAGTGCACTCGCTCTTCTCTTTCCACAAATGAAGACAGCATCGCGCATTGTTCTCGGTAATGCAAGGGGAAAATAAGTACAATTCGTATGTATCACGCACAGCGCAAGATCGCGAGTAGACTCGTCAAATGACGTACGAAAGAAAACGAGAAAACTCGCGGGAATAAACAGCAAGCGGATACACTTCAATCATACAGACAGGGAGAATCCATTGCTGTTGTCTCGAGAAACGTGCTTAACGACAAGTTGAGTTATCGGATTTACATTACACAACACACGCATGGTTTACACGTGAACGCTTCATTACCATTGTCGCGTTGATTCACGGCGTCATATTGATTCAATCACTCAACAGGCAATAAGATTATTCTACAAAGCACTGCCATAATTTGAACTGTTGTTACGTTGATTTTAAAATCCTGCCAAGTAATACCACTATTTAATATTATCTAACAAATGGGTCCTATCCTATGCTAAGTGATGAATTGATATATGCAAAAGTCCCGTGCTGCTATCAAAATATTCCTTTATCGATCATCAAAGTTTACATCTCGTCTTATCTTTATCTTTACACTTTTAAATGATCTTGATCTTTTCTTTATATATATATTGTTATATATTCAATTATTTTCTTTAGCACAATTTTTATATTCTTAAAGTTACGAATTTCAAAAATTTCGAATGTACGAATTTCACTATACTTCTTCCTCATTAGTTTGAGTCATTGTTATTAATAACTCGAAACGCTTTCAATCGTCATTAGCACGTTCGCGTGTTGATTGTACGATTGTAACAACAGGTTTCAGAAAATTCTCCAAGAGATATTGCCGCATAATCAGACATCGTCAGTATGCGTCGCGTTGTAGATTCTCGTTTCAGCATGCGACCTTTTGATTTGTCACTTGGTAAGGACCGGCTATAAAATAATGTAACGCATTAGACTTTATGGAATAATTAATCATAAGATGTTAATATAGCATGGCTCTTCCGTTCGTATAATTATTAAGTAGATTACCGTGGCGTGTACCTTGTTCTTACACCACATACTTGAATGCAAAACGCGTATAGAGCGACAGTTTAATCCTCGAATGGTCGCGTTGGTGCACATAGCGCGCCGCCTCATCGTTTTCCTCCCCTCCCTCCTCCTTTCTCTTTCTCTCTCTCTCTCTCTAGATATATCCTGCAAATTAATATTAATGTTATAACTTTGCATACATAAAGATTGGCGTGGGAATAATGGAAAATGAGAAAAAATCGTAGTCATAGCATTTCGAAAATGCAAAAATGTTCATTTTAAAATACAACTAAACTATACATATATATATATACACATACATATATATGTATGTATTTATGTATATATGTGCATATATATACATACTTCTCAAACTATTCTTCTACATGATACTTATTATATCATTGCAAACTGCGCGAGACGATTTGCAATGATACAATAATAATTACAGTATTTTGAGACGAACAGCCTATAAGTGAGTGGCGTACGCGGTGCGCCAACGCGCGCGATTCATCCCTTACCCACAACCTTGCTTTAATTCTTAAGCCGTAAGAAATTGATCAGCCGCAGTTGATTATTTTTAAAATAATCGACTGTGGTTGGTCAATTTATTACGGCTTAAAGATTAAAGCAAGGTTGTGGACAAGGGGTATGTTTTATTCCGCGACGGCAGCTCTGCAAAGCATGGACTGCCGATCTCACTCGAGGATTAAACATTTCGCGCGTAGATTACGCATAATCACCCGACATGCGCTGATTTATCGTGACGATAGTGATCGCTCGGCGTCGTAGCGTAGAGAAATCACACACACGGAAAAGGAGAAAAGAAAATGGAATAGACGCCACGAGGATCCCTTCCAACCGCCGGTGACTTGTTGGCGTACGACATTAGGTTAGGTTCCTCGTAACCTACCTCGTCTCTCTTGTTACGCCTACTGCTACACTGTTATTGTTGATGAAACTCCATATTAATAAGAAATAAATATATTATCTCAAAGGTGGAGTCTTTTGCGGTCCTCTTCTCTCTTGAGGCACGTAACCAGATTGTGGCAAACGTTCCTGTAAACCGAACAGGTTAAGATGAAACCTTATATCAATTGCATGCAGAAACAATATTCTTAATTTCTTCTTTCGTAAAATTAATATTAACATATTTTTAGAGAAAGAGAGAATGTCTGCATTTATGCAGTGTTCTGTTTGCCACTTTGACTTTTCCACCATGAACATAATTCTCCATAGGCGCTGAAACTCTTCGTTACTCTTTTGTTTTCCTCCTCACATGATTTATATCTGGGGGAAGGAAGTCGGGTTTGTTGACATCATATTGCCGGCGAGCTTTTAAATTTAAATCGCTGCTCTATCCGCGCACACATTGTGTAACTGTCGCGCATGTGGGGGCGTTCGATAATTGAACGGCCATCTTTGATTACGACGAGTCAGCATGTGGAAATGGCGGGAAATCATGCGCGATAACTAGCGACGATACAGCGGCTGCGGATAATCGAGGTGAGGTTTTGTAAATCAGCTCGTTTTTTTTGCACGTCGAAGCCGACGACGGAGTCTCTAAAGTCGTGTATCGCGCGGCTTCTTATCGCGTGGCACAACTATTACGTTCGCAAAAAGGCGTTATTTATGCGCATGTAAAACGCGATAATTGTTTGCGCGTATTACCACGCTTCTGACGTCATAATATAAGATGACTCGTGACTCTGAAAGCGATTTGAAATAGTTTAGACGATTTGGTCATTTGTTCCAAGTGACAACTCAGCGTATACACTGTCGTCGCGGTTCTTGTCGAGTTTCTCCTTAAGCTTCATATCGACTTGTGCGCTCCAGCTTTTGTGTTTCAGTCGAAAAGCCCGTGAAACACGACGATGATAATATGATACGTCAGATTATCGGAGATCGTCCGAGCTCTTTCGAGGAAACGAATAGAAAAGGATCATTGTCCTGCTATCGGTTGGCGTCGTCGCTCGTACGGATATCCCTGTCTGCCGGGTCTGATCGTCAAGTAAGCTGACTTGTCCACCGATTTTTCACAAGAAACAGCTGACACGACTGGACACGCGCTACCTAGGATACACGACGCAACGCGTTGCGTCGCGTCCGAGTACCGCTCGATTACGAAGCGAGCACGTCGCGCGAGCGGGTAACTGCGGAATGTGCAAGTCATTCGAGTCATCTACGGTTACGATTGCTGTTTCACGATCGGGTTTGGTCGTGGAACGTGACAAAAACGCGGGAGGCCCGGCGGTGAGTCTTCTCTCCGCTCCACACAGCATCTGCATAACGCTGTTCCATTCAATCGCACCCTCTCGTTTGTTCCTTACATAAGATCTCTCATATGTGAAAAAAAATAATTAGTTCTCGAATACTCCGTGCCATTTGGACACTTTACCATCGGCACATGACACGACATATTGATAATGACTTAAAGATAAGAAGGGGGTCGCGCGGAGAAAGGGGGAGAGGATATACTTGTGTGTATGTATATGCTTTTTATTTTATTCGTAATTGCGCTAAGACACATGCAAAAATATTAAAGAGATACAGAGCTAAAGGAACTGACTTTGTATTGTCAAAATTTTTGTTCTATTGAACTGCACAGAAAGAATTTCAGTTTGTACAATTGAACGAAGACCAGACGAGAAACTCTTCAACGAGAAATAATATCTCCGTTACTGTGACCAAAAATATTCATCTGAACATTCAACTACATCAAAACTCGGTTGAGTTAACTGAGAACAATTATGTAGCTGAGTAGAAACTTTCGGAGTAATGTGGCTGAGCAGAAATCTTTTCGTTCTTATGATCGAGTTTTTCATCTGGTTTCCAAATAACAGAAAATTTATTTTCTCTTATTTACACAAGGGAGTTGTATTTTCCTTGTGATCAAGTTCCAAAAGTCTGTTAAATATGGAGAATTAAGACTTTTGGGAGAGAGAGGAGGTTGCTCTGGCAATAACTTTTGTTAAACCGAGTCTATTTTCCTTCATTTTAGTTTCATTCATGTTCAGTGGCACCGCGTTCGATGGTATCGTGACGCAGAGCAGTATTCACGGAAGTGATTGGCGATTCAGCGTCGCGGGATCAACTCCCCGATTAGAATCTAAAAGTGACTCTCAGATACCGAATTCTCCAAGATACCGAATCGATACTCTCTATCAGATCTCTTTAATGTTCGTATTGTCTCTTTCCCGTGTTCCCCATAAATCTTCCAACGCTTCGCTCACTTCTTACCGAGTCACCACCGTCACGGTCACGTCGAATTGTTAGTCGACCGCTATCGGTACGTGCGGACAAAGGTGCACGGTGTCGTGCGTAATCTACGGTAAATCGTGACGAAGCGATCTCGCTCGTTCGCTCGCTTGGCAGCGGCGGCGGCGGCGGTGGCGGCGGCGGCAGTGGCGGTGTCGGCAGCCCGTGTGCGAGAAAGTCCCACCCGTCATTCGGACTGAGCTCTGTGGCTGCTGCTCGCCGCTGGTAATCGACGACGTAGTGTGGCGAAGAGCACGTGCGTATGTAAATTGTCTGTTCATTCGCACGCACATACGTCAGTACGCACCCCACTTGTACCTGAGAGACGCGCGTCTAGTGACGCCGCATCTATCGCGAGCTGATCGGGCTGCAAGCGTGTGTGCCGAGGTGGAGGAGATACCTGCGTCATCGGCGTGTATCATCGGCGAGATCGATCGTAACGACAAAACATGTTCATGTCGTCGTCGTCGCCGTCGCCGTCGCTGCTACCTTTTCGTGCGTCTCGCTCTCCGCTCTTGTCACACGTCCAGTGATTTCTCTCAACGCTAGATTGCCCGCGATCTGGCGAGCCGGGTAAGTGTCATGCGCGCGACAAAGAAAGAAAGAGAGAGAGAGAGAGAAAGAGAGACAGAAGACTTCTGCTTTACCACTGACAACGACGACGGAGGAGACGATACGATGACACGACGACAACAACGACGATGACAACGAGGTCGCGATTCTCGTTGCTGGAAAAACCTCGCGGTCACGTGCGACGCTTCAGTTATATTATGCGTAACTCCGCGATTACGGTGCGGTTATTGCGCGCCGCAACGCATCCGTGACTTCGTAGTGTATTCGGAGACAGATACATGTCACGACGCTGTTTCTGAAGATCTTATCTGGAATGCGAACGATTACGTTCCACACGCTGTGTGTTATTTCGTTTAGCTTTACATAGTTGGCATGCCAATGTGTATTGAGCGAGCCGGAGATAGAGATAGATAGATCGCGATTTGATGTGTGACAAGGAGCGTGCCATGTGAAGACGCGTCTCTGTTAATTGCCTATTTGCAGCTCTCATTTTAATGGATGGAGAGGAAGATTGTCGGCGAAAGAAAGGAGCTCAGGGCAGCTCCCACCAGTCTCAGAGCAATGTGTCAAATTCGTTATCCGTATCAGGGGAAGAAGCGGATTGGGAGGGTGCACTCAGCACAGAGAAGCACGGCGACCTCGGGGACATGACGTTCTGTATGGCCAATTATGTGAAGGAAGCCATGAAGATGATGTTCATGATGCGCAGCCATCATATGCTGACTGATGTGATATTGGAAGTTGGTAGTGAACTATTCCACGCGCATAAAGTTATTTTAGCAGCTGCTAGTCCCTACTTTAAGGTGAGCTTAGTGTTGGTTTGGGAGATTGTATTATTGATTTTAGTTATATTTTCTGAGTTTGTTTACAAAAGAGATTTATTTCTTCATGACCAACTGGGAATCAAGTAAAAAGTGGTGAACAATACTGACTGCTTCTGTAAAATTTCAGGCAATGTTCACTGGAGGATTGAAGGAGTGCGAAATGACAAGGGTGAAACTCCAAGGGGTTTGCCCAACCGCAATGGCTCGCTTAATGTACTTTATGTATACTGGACAAATAAGAGTTACTGAGATTACTGTGTGTTCCCTGCTATCAGCAGCTACTATGTTCCAAGTATGTGAATATTTATAAATAAATATGTAACTTGTAAATAAATATGTATTTCAAGCTTTAAAGATAAAACCTAACTTTATGAGAAAAATAAATGAGGATAATTATCTTCTCCATTATATAAAAATTGCATGAATATCTAGCATTAGCTCTTAATGATCTTATTTCTCTTGTAAAGTTAAACTTACAAATAAAGTTTAAAGAATAATAAAAAATATCATTAAAAGGAATCAATTCTGTCTGTTCACAAAAGCATATTGTACGATTCAACCATATAATATCTAAAATTGCATTGTGATACAGGTTACCAATGTGATAGACGCGTGCTGCGTTTTCCTAGAAAGACAGTTAGATCCCACGAATGCGATCGGCATCGCGAATTTCGCCGAGCAGCATGGCTGCCAGGATTTGTATCACAAGGCGAACCAATTCATTGTCCAGCATTTTAACCAAATATGCCAAGAGGAGGAGTTCCTGCAGCTGTCTGCTATCCAGCTGGTGTCGCTTGTTAGGAAAGACGAGCTGAATGTGCAGGAGGAACGGGAGGTGTACAACGCCGTGCTCAAGTGGGTCAAATACAACGAGGAGGCGAGGCGGCCGAAAATGGAGCACATATTGCACGCGGTGCGCTGCCAGTATCTCACGCCGAACTTTCTGCGGGAGCAGATGAAGAATTGCGACGTCCTGAAGAAGGTGCCGGCCTGCCGCGAGTACCTCGCACAGATCTTCAAGGACCTGACGTTACACAAAAAGCCAGTGGTGAAAGAACGTACGCCCAATACACCACGCGTGATATACATCGCCGGCGGTTTCCTCAAGCATTCGCTCGACGTGCTGGAGGGCTACAACGCCGACGACAAGACGTGGACGCAACACGCGAAGCTGATTGTTCCCAGGTCCGGCCTGGGCGGTGCGTTCCTCAAGGGCATGTTCTACGCTGTCGGCGGCAGAAACAATTCACCAGGAAGCAGGTAAGCATGACACTCGATTTTAGTTCGAGTCGCAATCAACAGCAATTATGATTCCTTATCATTCTGCAATGACAATACAAAAAACCGCTATTCCTGCGAATTCTCAAAACGTTTTCAAATTCTCAACACGAAGTCGCATGACGTTTCCAGGTACGACAGCGACTGGGTCGACAGGTATAATCCGGTGACGGATCAGTGGCGACCGTGCAGCCCGATGTCAGTGCCAAGGAACAGGGTCGGCGTCGCTGTGATGGACGGGCTATTGTACGCCGTAGGTGGTAGCGCGGGTGCTGAATATCATAACAGCGTCGAATGCTACGACCCGGATCAGGATACGTGGACTAGTGTCAAGCCTATGCACATAAAGAGATTGGGTGTGGTAGTGGCGGTAGTGAACAGGTAATGATTGTCATTGCGTCGATATTTTTAATCGCCGAGTATATTAATTCAATGTCGCTTCATTTAGTATTCAAATTACGTACCGGTTTCTTCATTGCTCTTTCTACTTCTCTTCATTCTTTTCCGTCGTTGTGTAACTTGCATGCTTTGTGCATTTGAGAAGTACTGACTTGTGCTTCATTTGATATGCCTTCGGTTACTTACTGTTTTGATTACATTAACAATGGCGATTGCGACGTCCCAGAGTATATATTATTTTCTACGAGGGAAACAACATGAGAATCTTTTTCGGCAGATTACTGTACGCGATCGGCGGCTTCGACGGCAAGGAGCGGCTCAGCTCGGTGGAGTGTTACCATCCCGAGAACGACGAGTGGACAATGGTGTCGCCTATGAAGTGCAGTCGCTCGGGCGCCGGAGTAGCCAGTCTAAGCCAATACATATACGTTATAGGGGGATATGATGGGAACTCGCAATTGAACTCGGTGGAGAGATACGACACTGAACGCGATATTTGGGAATATGTCAGTAACGTCAGCATCGCCCGCAGCGCGCTCAGCGTCACTGTTCTCGATGGCAAGCTGTACGCAATGGGTAAGTACAGTCGCATTGCGATCCGCAATGTTCTGATAGAATCAAAACACAGTGTTTCGACAGATACGTTATGGGTCTTCTCTTTCTCTTCAGGAGGATACGACGGTACGACATTCTTAAACATAGTGGAAATTTACGATCCCGCCAAGGACCAGTGGATCCAAGGTGTACCTATGACATCCGGGAGGTCTGGTCACGCCAGCGCGGTGTCGTATTATCAGTGTCCTATGCATTGTGATCATTTGGATCACAACATCACGTTGGAGAGGCCGCCGTCGTGATATGGGTGATTCTTTTTCTTGAACAACGCTCGCGAGTAACGACGGCCGAATAATGATACGTTAGTCCTCCATTTCGCTACGGAGGTGTGTACAAAGTGAAGAGACGGAACTGTGTAATAATGGCAGGGGATACGAGACATAGGTCGGGACGATCATAAAAGGCAATCAACGTTTGCGTGGAGAATTCGACTGAGAAATGTATTTACATAGTGTATATATACTAGACGGCACGACGTGTGTCGTCAAGTTGGACCAAGTCTGAAAATTGCGACTAGCTGGCGAAAAACGTACTCTCGAAAGAAAGGTGATGTGAACTTCTTTTTCTTTACCGCGACATTTCGACTTACCGAAGGACCAATTCGCCGTATCTTTTAGGATAGATCAGACTGTAATATGTTTTTATAGATTCGTCGCTCTTCGATCGCAAACGAATCTGTAAATGATGTAATTGTACATATATCGTAAGAAAGTTATTTTCAAAAAAATTCCCGAGTATTTATTTTTCTTCGTGGTTGACCGTCAAGCATAGGAATTAATACATGTCGATTGTGCAGTCATCATTTTTCTCAGCATATTCGAGTCTCGTCGAGAAGAATGACGTGGTAATATTTATTGAAATCGTAATATTGGAGTGTGGCGGATGTTAACACGTATATTAACATATATGTCAATTCATGCGTGTTAATGTCGCTACTTGAACTTATCTAAATACCAAAGTTATTTACCTTGTTATCGAATGTTACATAAACGATGTTTTCATGTTTAAAATGGAGATTTCAAAGCAACGATAAATAAAGCAGATAAATTCCTAACGCATCGAAACGACCGAGAGCTCTTGTAAAATATATATATACACATATATACATAGATATATTTTACAAGATCCAACACATTATTCCCGAATATAACGAAAATTCGCAATACGATGTCGCATACGGGATGTAAGAAGTATGTCACATGTCCTATGTGTAAAGGTGCAGGTAGGAATGTCGATCGATGTCAAAATCTTTGATATGTGCTTGTGTATGCTTTTTGATAAAAAAATATCTCGTAAAAAGGCAAGTCTACCACACGTGCAGGAGAAGAAGCGACCTTGTTATCCATTCAACATGAGACTGCAAATTTACCGCAAGTTACGAAAACAGCGATTGCCGAAACAGCACATGCCGCAGCCTCGGGGGATTTGCGTTTGTCCGTGTTATCCGATAGGTATGACGCACATTTGGCTTTTTTTTTTCTTTTTTTAACAGACATTAATACGCGTTCAAGGTATACCGCTTTACTATAGTATACTCTCTCTCTAATCGGCTTATGTAAGCACAATAAACATCAAGCTGCTCATAATTTACTTATGTTTTTGTTAATTCAATGGCATGATTCAGCAGATATCCGAGAGACGTTAATCCCACCAATCATGGAGATTACGCGGCTATGCTGGAGAACGATTATACGGCAACACCTGAAGAATTTACGAACCCGCAGGAAACGCTGAAACTTGCTCTGCATAATTTGAAGCAGAATCAATGGCAGAGCAACGTGCCGGCTTTGATCAAATTGATGCGCATCTCAAGGATTCAACCGGAATTGCTGGACTCCAATATGCCTCGCATATACAGGACCTTGTGCAGGTCATTTATCCAAGATTCGTGTTATATTAACAATACATTATTCACGTTTATTTGCTTAATATCGTCGCTTAAACTTTTTTGTTCTATTTTTCACTATCTGTCGTCTGTCGGTTGTCATCTCACGCGCAATAAAATATGGTTGTGTTATAGTTTATTGAAGAACACAAGGCCACACGTCGTCAAAACTGTCTGCCAAGTGGCAATGGAGTTATATAAAACGGTTCAGTGTACGCAGCGGCCCGAGTTTGATGAACTCGTGTCTGCATTACTCTTAAAAAGTACACATACGAACAAAGGAATCCGAAATGACGCCCAACGCGCATTAGACTCTATGATAACTCATTTGCCTCCTGCGACTTGTATTCGGATATTGGCCAGCGAACACGGTGCCAGGTGAATTAATGAATTTTAATTAGTTGCTCTCTGAAGAATATTAATAGTTATTATTTTAAATTCGTCTCAAGTGAGATTCTTAGATTTAAATTCAGAAAATACAAGTTTCTTAATTGGGGAGGATCGTGATTGCAAAAATATATAAACATATATTATAATACAATTGGAAAACTTGAACTAATTTTGAATAAAAATCTGAGTATCTCACATGAGATAGGTTTTAAATCACAATTATTTATATATATGAAGTGAATCATGAATATTATAAAATTTTTAATATCAATCTTTTATTTATAGCCACAAAAATCCGTTGATCAGAGCGACTGTAAGTCGATTACTTTATAATATTATAAATGTCATTGGAGTGGAATGTTTATTATCAAATGCAAGTATGAAGGATACTCGCCGAAAGATCTTTACCATGTGCTCCAAATTTCTTCTTGATGGTAGCAATGAAACGAGGTATTTGATCAACTCACTTCACTAAAAACATGCTATTTTAGTTAATTTAAGTTTCTTGTCATTGCATTTGATATTTATTGAAGATTTATTATTTCCTGATAAAGATATCTGTGTGATACATTAGTTTTTGTAGTGCAAGTTGCAAAAATTTGAAAAATATATGTCAAGATTATAGTTGGTTCATATTGTTTTGTGAGATCTGAAGTTGCAAGAAACTCTTGCATATATGACAATGTAGAAATTATCTTATGTGTTGTATTTATTAGAATGCAGAAATTCAATGAATTGCTAACCACATGTCAACTCCACAGAAACGACGCTAAAAAGGCATTGAAGGCGATGATGGGCCATCAAGATTTTGACACTTTATTTTATCAGGACGTGGACTGGAAGATTATCAGTAGCATAGAAAAGCAATTAATATTTTTGAAGTATAGCCAAACTCATAGCATGTAATATTACTCACTATTATTGGTGCAATAACAGTACTAATCGTTAATATCGTATAACGATTTGTCTCAATAATAAATTACCAACTGTGATATTAAATTATTTATATGCAATCAATGATTACATTATTGATGATTAATTATAGTTAAACAGCAAACCGTGGATTTAGTAACATCACAGTTTTACGATTGCGTTCCGTTTTTTATCTACATTTTATTCGATATGTCATAATTATATAATAATGCTTTCACATCGTATTTGTAGTCTATCTTCAAGCTCAGCTTTTTCTTGTTTACAACATACCGCTGTGAACCATATCAAAATACGGCGCTCGTTGTCACCCAACCTAACGCTGGTCTAATTCTAACCCAACCTACCTTAACCTGAGAGAACCGAGACGTAGCATATCGAGTGGCATTAGGACGCCGAAGTTCACCGCGTTCCGCGACGGCGGATCATCGTCGGCGAGGCGAGGCGAAGCGGATATCAAGATGCCGTCGGATATTCGGCGTCAATACGCAGTGTCGATGCCGCGATTTGGACGCGAGGCCTGAAAAAAGCGTGCGACGCGATGCGATACGTTTACAAGTTGTTCCTGCTGTGCCTTATCCTGGCGGCGCTCATCATACTGCTCAATGTGACCACAAATTTCTCCAATAAGCTGTACGACCAGCAGGCAGCCAGTAAGGAACGGGTGGTGCTGCTCCATAGGAAGACCCCGGTGACAGCGGCAGCGAGCGAGGTGACGATATGCGTGGTGGTATGTGGCGACAGATTGCACGAGGCCCTGACGATGCTCAAGTCGGCGTTGGTCTTCGCCAACAGACCGCTGCAGCTCGTGATATTGGCAGAAGACAACTTGATACCAGCCTTCAGCGAGAAGCTATCAGAATGGAAACTAATATCCAATAAGACCTTCGACTTTGTAGTGAGACCTATCACTTTCCCTGAAGGCAGCGATGTGGCTATGTGGAAGAAGCTGTTCAAACCTTGTGCAGCTCAACGACTGTTTCTGCCAGTGAGTCAATATATCCAGTCCCTTAGCAATTTAGTGTGTTATCGATATGTTATTCTCTAAATTTCTCTGAGTGCAATCTCTGAGTTCAAAATAAAACAACAGTGGCAGTATTTTTGCTCAAACTGATAATGAAAATACCATTAGATAGTAAACTGATAGTGAAAATCCAAATTGCACAAGATTGGGTAATTCACTGAAGTTTAGAATAGATTTTGACTCCATATGAGTGAACATTTCAATTGATTGAAATAAATAACTATGTTCAATGGGAAAAGCTGCTTTGCAACTGTTGTAAAATTTGTGAATCTTTGATACATGCTTTTATAAATTCAGCCAAGATTAAGATTAAATTTTTGCCAACAGTTGCAAAGTAACTTTCTTTGCTGAACGCATTCAGTCTGATCTATAACATACTCTTTGCTTCCTATCTCTTGTTCTTTATTTTCTTCTGACTAAAGACTTACGATTTAAGTCAGAAAGAGATGAAAAGAAAGAAAGCTTTTGTTTCAATCTATTAAAACATTAATTCACATGAAATCAGAACTCACTTTAAACTTGTATGAAACATTCCCTTTTGTAATTTGGAATTATACTATTCTCACTATCACTTTGAATAAAAATACTGCTGTTTTCTTCTCATTTTGAGCAAAATTTCACTTTAAGAAATTATGTTTCTGAGTAGTAAGCTGTATAGCACATCAGATTCATTCTTCAATTTCAAGTGATAATATTCACTCAACAGTTCAGAATGGAGCATTCACTCTATGAATGAAAAACTACTTGAATTCGAGTGAAGCCACTTTACTCTTACATGAAATTTAATTTCAAGAAATTTAGAGAGACAAGCATATCCCTATGATTTATTTTTAGCAGAATTAGACTCACAAGATTTGTTTTTTCAGACTGTATTAAATGACACGGATGCGGTGCTTTATGTGGACACAGACACTCTGTTTTTGGCACCACCAGAAAAGATTTGGGATGAGTTCAAGAAGATGAATTCTAGCCAGTTGGCGGCTCTTAGTCCTGAGCACGAGGACCCCAACACTGGCTGGTACAACAGATTCGCCAAACATCCGTATTACGGCAAGCTGGGCGTGAATTCCGGCGTGATGTTGATGAACCTAACGAGAATGAGGGAATTCCGGTGGACGGACTATGTGATTCCCATTCACAAAGAGTACCGGCTCAAGATTACCTGGGGCGATCAAGATATAATCAATATAATATTCCATTACCACCCGGAAAAGCTATACGTGTACTCGTGCCGGTACAATTATAGGCCGGACCACTGCATGTACATGTCGGTGTGCAACGAAGCGGAAAGAGACGGCGCTCTGGTGCTACACGGCTCGCGGGGCACGTTTCACTCGCAGAAGCAGCCGCCGTTCAAGGCCGTGTACAGAGCTATGCAGGAATATCAGCTTAATACCGATCCATACGACGAGCTACTCGTGCCGATGAGGAATTACCTCATGATGGAAGACAAGTCCAACTGCGGCCGAGTCTGGAAGGTGTTCATCATTCAGCCGGAGTTGCATTTGGGTCATAACTTTTAAAATTGCAATTTCGATCATTTATCGAGATTTACCTTGAGTGTGACCATTTCCCTACGCGTTTGTAAACTTTCTTACTTCCGTTTTGATAATATCTTTGTCGGTTTATATATATATATATATATAGATGTTGTATACAGATATCGAAGCAATAACGAATAGGATATATTTGTATGTAATCATTTTTAGTCGTGACGTTATCAACATTTCCTCTCTGTCTCTGGGAATTTTCACAATAGAGTTGCTAGAGAGAGAATTTAAAATACTTAACTACATAAATACATATATACATACATACATATATATACACACACACACACATATATATATATACACATACGTACATACATACATACATACTTATATATGTATTTTAAGTCGAAGTGTGATATACACACACACACACATATACACATACATACGTACATACATCATACATACATACATTCATTCATTCATTCATTCATTCATTCATTCATTCATTCATTCATTCATTCATTCATTCATTCATTCATTCATTCATTCATT